ATTTATATTTTACACAAAGAATTGATCAATTCAATCTGAGTCAACATGAAAGTAGAAACTTTGCACAACCCTATAAAATACAATTTTACTTTTGTTAATTTAGAAATTCATCTCCATCTCATAAATCTTGCATATAAGAGCTCGATGATTTTTTTTGCTGTATCTTAGAAATGAATTTGCCAAATGTATAACAAAAAAGAACTCATACAAATCAATACTAAAACAATACTAACATCCAATAGTAAATGAACAAAGGATGTGAAATCAAAAATTCAGAATCATGTAATCATGATTGGGAACCATGTGACAATACTTATAATCACATACGTACAAATTAACAGAGGATACTATCAAATTAGTAAAGATTTATAATAACTGGTGTTGGCAGTGGTACAGTGTAACAGCTGACACTTCTGGAAAACAATTTTTCAATTAAAAGAAAATATGAAGCACAAAATAAAAAAGAGGATGCAAATTTGCATATACAACGTAGTTTCAATTATGTAAAAATTATATGTACACACAGAAAGGCCACGAGAAGAAAAATCATGAGAAGTGGGAACTATCTCTAGGAAGAAAAGGGCTCCTAAGTGATTTTTAAAAGTTCATGGTATATATATTTTGGTATATATATTTTCTTATTTTTTAATCATGAGCTCATTACATTTTTTAAAGATTTACTTATTTATGCATAGAAGAACTGGGGTGTAGGCCATAACTGTGGGGGGTGAGAAGATTCACCAGAGACAGAGTGGGGAGCAGAACGGGCAGATCTACTGAAATATACTGCTGAGGGGAGCAGCAGGCGAGACAGGAGAGGTCTGCTGTGCCATATGTGGGTCAGCAACCTGGCTGGGGATTGAATTCAGGCCATAGTGGTGACAGCGCTGAGCCTTAATCCCTCGGCCACCAGGGAGGTCCAAACTCACTACTTTTATATTAAGATTATCTGAAGGTAGACAGTGGTGCCCTTTATAGATCCTAGTGCATTACACAGTTTTAAAAACTTCAAAAATCTTCTTGTGCCAAAGTTTGAGACATTTGCATGAAATGTTCAGCAGCTCTGCTTAGTCTCCGTTGAAATAATGATCAGAAAATTATTAAATGCATGTTAGCCTAATCTCATTACAGATTTAAGTCAATTAAACCCTAACTGCTATTAATACAGGAATATTCATATATATATAGCCGATATGCCTGGAAACTGTAATGTTCTTTGTTCATGAACTTTTCACTTATATTTTTTTCCTTACAAATAAAGTACTCATTTCCCCCAAGAACATAGTTGGTATTTACTTAGATCTTCCTTTATGAACTGACCTACCTCTGTGGGGGGCTATGAGAGTGTGATTCCTTTTCATTCACTCTCCCAGCCCCAGCATCCTACCCCACAAAAATTCAGCCATGTTGTCAGTTACATGGGCTTTACAGTTCACTGTGTCTTCAACCTACAGTGAAAGGGAATGGTAGTTTTTTGGATATGAATGCAGATCAAAACCTGCTGCCTAGGGTATGTCCTCTGCTCCAATTCTGGTTAAAGACAATGCACCAGGAAGAGAAAGAGCAATAAAGGGGGATTTGGGGAAGAGTCCAAAATACAAGCACATGCACATAATATGCACATATATACATGTACATACACATACACCCACATACACATACCCAGATAAAAATCTTACCTATGCCTATGGTGACCATATTAATTCAAACACACACAAAAAAAAAGACCTGGAATTTTTATTTGGACAATTCAAAATTTGAAATTTCTCCAAATATAAAGTATTTGTGCCTTGAGGAGCCCAACAAGAATTACTTGGAGGCAAAATGAGATAGAATCAAAATTTAAATTATTTCCCTATATATATATATGTGTGTGTGTGTGTGTCTGTGTCTGTGTGTGTATATATATAGAGAGAATATGAATATATATATATATATATATATATATATAATATAATGAAAGAGAGAGAGAGAGAAATTAAAAAGGTCTTTCATGGTAAAACCCAAAAGATTTTTAATTCATTTAAGGCAAAGATGGGTTTTAAAATTTTTTCTTTATGATTCATCAAGAGTTTGGATTCTATTAGAAGCCAGTATGTTCATGCTGGGACTTTCTGTTAATCCATTAAGAAGCTTGGTGGTAATTCCATTAGGATTAAAACAGAATGTTTACCAAACTAGAAGTTCACTCCTATAGTTCTCCTGGTGTTTTATGGGGACAGAGTCTTTAGGCTTTTGAAAAGGTCAAACTAATTTTGTTCTTAATGGTAGTGATAATATTTGGAAAAACAAACAGCCCCACAGATCAAACATTTGTGCGGTAGTAACAGGATCATATTGGTTAGCACTTTCTGGATCTCCCTAACTTCTAGGCTGAATGCATAATTCTCCAAATTGCTTCAAATGTATTTGAACCAAATACTTAGCTTATCAGCAGGATTCCAAGTAGCCTATTTGAATATACTTTCCCCTTCAGTTTCCCTCTTCTCTCCTCCCCTACGCTGCTCTAAAATAATGGAATTAACCACATAAAGACAAAGCCATGGGCAGTTTTCAGACTGGGGTCCACGGTCCCTAACGATACTAAGCTCCAACTTGCTTAGTGGCCCATGGCAGCTGAGCCAGGTGTGTGGAATAAAACCTGAGACTTGCATTTTGATTTTTAGTCAGCTTAAAAAAGGAGACCATCATAAGGAACTCTTACCAGGTTTTATAGTACAAGAGCAGTGCTTCTCTGAATTCAGAGTAACTTTGGATAATGGTTTACAGCTTATACGTCAGAACTGTCAGTGAACAGGATGCTAAGAAATGCTTGTTTGTCCCATTTCTCAGACAGCTTTTAGGTATGGCTGTTGGTTTTCAACGGGGGTCGCAAAATGGGTGAATTTATTGCATAAGCAGAAGAGTATAGAAGAAAAAGAGCCAATATGGAATCAAAGACTCTCAGCTCTGATGCTTTTAACAGCTGGACTAATCAGTGAATCTCTTTCAGCTCTGTGCTGCAGCTATAGTACATTATAATAGCGCCATCCTCAGGGGGGAATCCAGCAATACATTCTCTGGAGGGAGGTAGGCATTGACTAGTTTATGGTGTCTTTTCTCCTGCCCACCCTCCTGCATGGTCAGAGAGAGCATTTCAAGTGCACAAGATTGGAGTGTGAGCTCTGGCACCAGATTCTGGGGCTACAAACTGTGGTATTTCCATTCACTAGCTGTGCAAACTTAAACAAGCTGTTGTACTTTGTATTTCAGTTTCCTCATCTGCAAAGGCAGATATTGATCATTCTTATACCATTAAGAAATGAATTTGTAACCTGTCCCTTCAAATGTTGCAGAACTTTCTGGAATTTCTTGGTATTTTCTATACCTCCAGATTCATCATACTGTACTTAAGAACAGCAATGAAACATATTAAAGCTGTCCCAGCACGTCAGCTATTACAGGTTGGGTGAGACAAATTTGGAGATGGTAGAAGCCTGTGAAATCACCTAAGCTCCCAACAGAAGCCCAGATTCTAGCTCTCATAGCTGGTAATCTCTACTCCAACTCTATTTAATCCCTTGGATTATCTATGCCCTGCTTCTCCCTGAAGTACCTTATCAAGACTTCAGGTATATGCAGTTATTCCCAAGGCTGGAACCTACCAAATGCCTTCAATTCCAAAGGTCAGCAAACAATAGCCCTTGGGCAAAATCCAGTCCACTACCTGTTTTTGTAAATGAAGTTTTATTGGAATATAGCAATACACATTTGTTTACAAGTTGATTATTGCTGCTTTCATACTGCAATGGTGAGTGAAGTTAGCTGTAATGGAGAACAGATACCCTGTAGAGCTGAAAATATTTACTGACTGAAAACATTACCTTGACTGAAAATGTTTGCTGACCCCTGATCTACACCACATATAAAGGCAGATGTGTGAAGGGAAATATCTTCATGTTTATGGACCCAATGAACATTAAGATTACAAAGGCATTAAGATGACATGTTGGGGCCTCCCTGGTGGCACAGGCGATTGAGCACCGCACTGTGAAGCTGTCCGCAGCCTCTGCAGCACAGGTTCGATCCTGGCCGGCCAGTGAGAATCCCACACGTCGCAGCAGACCTCTCCTGTCGCACCCACTGCTCCCCTCAGCTGTGTATTTCATCAGTCTGCCTGTTCTGTTCCCTGCTCTGTCTCTGGTGATCCTCTCACCCTCCCACGCATCTAGTCTGTACCCTGGTTCTTGAATAAAAATAAATAAATCTTTAAAAAAAAAAGACGACATGTTGGGACGGCTTTAATGTGTTTTATTGCTGTTCTTGAGAACAGTATGAAATACCAAGAAATTGCAGAAAGCCCTGCAACATTTGAAGGGTCAGGTTATTATCATTACAGGTTAATATTATTATATTAAGGTTATCACAGGCTCACCTCCATTATTCCACCAATAAGTGTATGGCACTCAGCCCTTAGTATGTGCTCAACAAATATTGATTACTCCTGAATCTTGGGGACTGTAGGATACTTTTGGCCACAGGCTAGCCGAAAATCTGATTTGAATTGCTATAAATAACATGGAAATATATTGCTTAAAGACCAGAGGTGTGGCAGGTTCCAGTATATCAGGATGCTAACAATTCTCTGCCATTCTTTAGGCTCAGCTTCATTGTTGTACTCGCTTTTATCCTCAGCAGCAACCAGAATAATATGTTTCATTGCCCATGTCCAGTGGAAATGACAGCCTTTCAAAATTTGGACTATATATCTGAATGGGTCACCTTTGATCTCATGTCCACCTCCAGTTCAATGATAGTTGCCTGAGGAATCCCAGTCATGGGGTGATTGTTTTTAAAATTCCACTACCAAAGCTGAGCAAAACTGAGATTTGGGTAAGGAGACAGAAAAGAGAAATGTATGATCATCATTTGTCTCCAGAGTGATTACAGTACCCCCATTGTGATCTAAATTGTTTTAAACAGAAAATATTCAAGCAGGGCAGAAAAGATAAGGGTATTACCTTATTCTCTTGTCCTCCACTTTTTTCAAATATTCATCTCTCTTTAGGACTCCCAGGATCATTTCCTTCTCATGATCTAATAAAAACGACAGATTGATGAACTCTGCGTTCTTAGACATATTTCAGCAGCAGCTCTGCAGCGGTTGAGTCAGCAGACTAGTAGTGGTTGATCTTCCAGATGAACTGATATTCACAATTCTTAAGGTCCCCCAAACAACCTTGAGTCACTTAGTTGTTTGATGTTGTGACTGTTACAAGGCCCCTGAAGACTTGCTGATGGTTGCTAGGTGGTTTTCCAGGCTATACAGAAAACAAGCTCCACTGGGATTGCGTTCCAAGAAAGTCATTATTGTTTTAACCAAAAATGGATCTCCAAAACCTTTGTTTGGTGTCTAATCAGGTGGCCATTAAGTTTCACTAAAGACGCTCAGGTCAATCCTTTAAACAGCTACAGAACAGGAATCAGATCTGCTGGGACAGAATCCAGAAAACACTAAAAATGTGGAGAAAACAAAGAAGAATAAGTTAGCCTACAGCACTTGTAAGAGTATCTAATTTCTCATTTCTGAAATAGTGGTGCATGTAGCAAAAAAAAAAAAAAAAAAAAAACACCCAAGTGTTATTCCATAAACAGGCATTATTAAATACTGTATGTTTATTGCTGTGAAATTTTAGATTTCATTAATTCAACATTCTCTATGAAAATTCAGTTTCTTGCAATATAATTAACTTCTACTACCAGATGGATTCCATTATCAGTCTGCAGCTGACCCACGGGGTGAGCAGTCTCACCATGTTGGCACTCTAAGTGCATCCACAACAGGAAGTGGTTCCCTTCGTGTCCCTCCCTCCCCACAACTAAGACCACTCATAACAAGCACAGCTGGCAAAGCAGATATGATGCAGCGTTCCGTATATTGGCCTCAATACACCTTACAAACATACTGCTGAATGAAAAAGGTTAAGTTACAGGATAATTCACGCAAAAATTACAGAATATATATGAAGGAAATAACCTGCCTGGCAATGATATCTAATTTAGGAATACATACATTTATAGTATAAATATAAGGAAACTCACAGGAGATTCAGATAGAGAGGAGAGCATAGGAACTTAAATGATATTGAGCAATGGTTGATTTTCAAGATGGAGGTTTATATCTTATAATGTACACTATTGATTGGAATTATTCTAGGTATGAATTACGTGTTGCAATATAGATGTTTGAAAACTACCCCCTTAAGAAGCCCTGCAGGCAATGCCCCTCATGCTAACTCTTGATCATTCTTTCATTGACTTCTTACTTGGATTCTCTCTGAATGTTCCCTTAACAATGATGACTCCTGGGCCTCCCCTGGTGGTGCAGGCAGTTAAGCGCAGCAATGTGAAGCTGTCTGCAGCCCCTGCAGCACCAGTTTGATCCCAGCCTGCGGGTGAGGGTCCCACATGGCATGGCAGACATCTCCTGTCACGCCCGCTGCTCCCCTCAGCAGTGTATTTTGTCAGTCTGCCTGTTCTGTTCCCTGCTCTGTCTCTGGTGAATCCTCTCACCCTCCCACACATCTGGCCTGTACCCCTGTTCTTGTATAAATAAATAAATCTTAAAAAAAAAAAATGATGACTCGGAGTGACCAACAGGTTTTGTGATTTGGGATCTCAGTCCATGACACTGGCCCCCACCTTCCCCCCAGATCTATGAACTACAATTTACATGCAAGTTGTACCTGGTCGGTTTGGTTCTAGCAAGTGTTCCAAACTAAAATAGATACAGGATCCTTTTATTATTATCTGAAAGTAGAATACTCCTATTTGGTATGATTCAGTAGGTTATTTTGGGGATCTGGGAACACTCAAATTTTTCCCATATATTGGGCCTCCCCGGTGGTGCAGCGGTTGAGCACTGGGTTGCGAAGCTGCCCACAGCCTCTGCAGCATCGGTTCGATCCCCGGCTGCTCCCCGGCCACCGGATGAGGGACCCGCATGGCGCGCAGACCTCTCCTGCTGCCCGCTGCTCCCCTCAGCAGTGTACTTCATCCATCTGCCTGTTCTGCTCTCTGCTCTGGCTCTGGTGAATTCTCTCACCCTCCCGCGCTTCTGACTGTACCCAGTGCTTGTATAAATAAATAAATCTTTTAAAAAAAAATTTTTTTCCCATATAAATTGACGGTAACAGCCTTTCCAGACCCCAAAAAATAGCCTACCAATCACACCAAATAGAAACATTCTACTTAAGGAGAGTGGGGGAAGCTTGTATTTACTCAAAGGCTGCTTTGAGGCCTCTAAATATCCATAAGGTTAGGCTGACCTCAAAATCTCAGAAATATAATGGGAAAGGATCTTGTGAAGAGCCTCTCTAATTTCCCAAAGAACAAGAGTGAGGCTCCTCTTAGGAAATTGTCCTGGTCTGTGCAGATTCTCTAGATTTCATCCAGAGCTTTCCTCCACCTCCAAAGACCAGTACAGGGATCTGAAAAAAACCCAAGATTGACATGAACAGGAAGCAACAAGGTTAAGAGCAAAAGGGACTCTTCAGAAAGGTTAGAGGTTTGCTTTTTCCATTACTGCCAACTGCAGTCTCCTCAGATAAAGAACACAACTGGTTTTTCCATTCCTCTTAGACTCATCTGGTTTTATGCTGGAACGGATAAAGCACCTGGTAACTCAGTGATGAATGTTATTACCGTCAGTTTCACTTAAGAAATATTTTATATTTGAAATGTCAGATTTAGAATGTTCTACGTGAATATTCTATAGGATTGTATTTAGAAATGATTCCAGTGATTGGAAGCTACAAAAATGCTTGACCTGAAGTTTATGATTATCCTTCCTTGAGAGGGAAGGTGATAGAGAGAAGGTGATAGAGATGGGGAATGAAGGACTTAAGAGAAATAAAAACCTCCTGAAAACTGAAACAACAAAATCAACCCAAACTGGTTTTTCACACATCTGTGCCTGGACTCAGAGCTGATTCATTAACAACTGGCCAAGGAGATCAGAAGTAGCTAAAACTTTATCAAGAAAATCATGTTTCCCAAACTAAATGTCCAAAAACAGATGATTGGATCAAGAAGATGTGGTGTATATATACACAATGGAATACTATTCAGCAATCAAAAAAGATAAATTCATGCCATTCACAGCAACGTGAATGGAGTTGAAAGGGATTATGCTCAGTGAAATAAGTCAGAAGGAAAGAGAAAAATGTCGGATGGTTTCATTCATAGGAGGGATATAAGGAAATCAATTAAGAGATCATGGGGAAAAAAGACAAAACTAACAGGCAACTATAAATTGGAGATATTCTACAGGGGAGAGGAAGGAAGAGGGACCAAAACATGGGAGGGAAGAGCACAGGACACTAGAGTGACAGTTCACGGATGTCTCCTTGGTGGTAATTTTATGGGGATTACACCTGAGAGGAAAATAAACAACAATGTAAAAAATACATAAATTAAAAAAAAAAGAAGAAAGAAAGAAAATCACATTTCCTCCAGAAGGCAGGACTGGACTGTGATGATCATTTAATAAGATGCAATGTAACTGATGATAATACAGTCCTCCCAGAGAAACACAGGGGGTGAGGGGTGGAGGGAAGAGGAGACTGTGAGCCTGGGCATAGACAAAGGAGTTCTAAGGAGCTAGATGCCCATGGTGCCCACGCAGACTCTGACCCAAGAAGAAGCACTTGGGTTTCAAAGGAAATCAACCTATTTATTCCCTGTAGCAAGAGCCCCATGTGCTGGCAACATTTTCTGCCATCAAGCCCTCAAATCCCACAACTAATTCCTCTAATTCAAGCTTTACTTTCTCTGGGACACTTCTGATTTTAAGTTGGTTTCTCCTAGAATGCTCTGTTTGTCTAGTGGATGTCCCACTTTTGGCCAAGCGACCATGTGCTTTGTTGAGTTTGAACCTAGGTCCAGTCTGTTCTGTATAGGCCAACTAAGTCCAATTTCAGAATGAATTCACCTAAGTATGAATCTTTTTTATTGTCCCCTTTCATGGGTCATTCAGACCCCTCCTGGAGAACTCCTTCCCCAGTACACACTTTAATCAAGTGAAAAAAAAATAACTAAAAAAACTATGAATGCATTTTCACTAGGGTTGATTATCATGTTTTCAGTCAAATACGCCTGGTAAACACTAGCCAGAATAGGAGGAAGAAATTCATGTTTATTTCATTCTCCTATAACTTCACTTGAGCAGATCTTTCTCCTTAAACCTTTCATATGGGAACTTCCCCCTCTGTCCAGCAGCTTTGCCAAACTAAGCCAAACCACTCAAAATGATGACAAGAAGGTCTGTCTGTCCTCCCGCCACCTTTCAGTCTTTCAGCCTTTCAGCCTTCGACAGGTGATAAACCCTGTTGAGCAGCACCATAGATGTGATAACCAAAGAAATTCCCACAGCATCAACAGAGCTCTAAGTTTTTCAAAAAACCATCTGTTTTGAAAAACACACTTAAAAATTATAGAGGTTGGTATTTTAGTCAAAGAAAAGGGCATGTCTGAATACATCTCATTACAGGGTAACAGAAACATGGCTTTAAAAGCAGAATGTTTCTGGAAGTGCTCTTAGGATGAAATTAATAAAAATAAAATTAATTTCCTGTTTGCCTGCTAGATGGATTTTCAGCATTCGGAGGGATGTTCAAGATGCTTGCAATACAAGTTGAACAGCATATGCAGATGCACTTGGGAGTGCATTGCAGTACATCTGGGGAAGTGTAAACTGACTCCCCTGTGCTGTAAACTAGTGTGACCTCTAAAATAAAAATATTAAATTTTTAAAAACAATCTACATAACTGGGGGCCTCCCTGGTGGCACAGCGTTAAAGTGTGAGTGCTATCAAGCTATCGCCAGCCACTATAGCACAAGTTCGATGCCTAGCCCAGGAGCTGACCCACATGGCGCAGCAGACCTCTCCTGTCTCACCCGCTGCCCCCCTCAGCAGTGTATTTCAGTCAGTCTGCCTGTTCTGCTCCCCACTCTGTCTCTGGTGAATCCTCATCCCCGCACCTCTGGGCTACACCCAAGCTCTTGATGAATAAATAAATAAGACAATAACTCCTTTAAAAATTATAAAAAAAGAATCTACATGGCTGTTAAAGAGAGACAAATGCTGTGAGGAGAGAACTAAATGGAACTTTCACTATGAACCCTAAGCTGAAAGACTCAAGGGCAGATGCTATGGAATTGCATTTCTTTTCAATACAGCAGTTTCTTCTCACATGCGCAACTAACTCTGTGTGGCACATTCCAAGGAGTTACACAGTTGTTGATATTTAAAGGAATTTCACAGTGGTATTAATCCCCTGAGCAATAAAAGGAAGGCTGACCAGCAATACCAATAGTCTTATAGTGACCCTTCAAGAACAGTGTTCTTAGAATGTTCCACATTAATGACTGCTAACATTTACATAACTCAACTGGTCACATGATTCCCCTCACAAAGTAACTTCTAATATCCCTACTTCATAGTTGAGAAAAC